ATAGATTTTTTAAAAACAATATTCAATAAGCACAAATTTAGCCAAACAAATTATCTAAGCAAATAAGCACAATAATTGAAAGTAAACAAGAGATAGGGTTAGAGAATTTGATGCTAAGATTTATAGAGGTTCGGTCCTTCTTTAGGTACCTACTTCTTCTCCCTTAGCCTTTCTTGCCAAGAAGCTCAATCAACTATGATTTGAAGATTACAACCAAGCTTTTCAAAGCTTTACAAACTCAACACTATATACTTTTAAGGGTTATCCTCCCCCTTAAGCTTACAAACTCACAATACAAAATTTTTAAGGTGTTTTACAAACTTTAAGAACCTCTCAAAGGTTGGGTGTTTGCTAATTTGAAGTACACAATAATTTAGACAAGAAAATAGAGAAAAACTTATATGAATTCTACATTTTTTCGACTTGGAATAGCTTTGAATGCTTGAGCAAATTGGTAGGTGAATAGCAATAAGTTTTCTTAGCTCTCGTTTTTCTTGGTCTATAGTGGAATGCTTGATTTATAGGTAGGAAGAAGTTGAGAGTCGCTGCAATGCATTTAATGCTTAAAACCGGCAAAAATTTCAGACAAAAAATAGTCGTTGGGAGTTTTCGACCTTTAGAGGATCGATCTCCTTCTTTAGGGGATTGATTGGTTCAGGTTAGAGGAAACATGATTTTGTGCTTGAAAAGCTTTACCCGATCGATCCCTTCATTCAAGGGATTGATCCATTCTTTAGGTGATTGATCCCTTATGTAGGGGGATCGATCATCTTTTCTGGATTTTCAGACTTGGGAAGCACTTTGTTTAAGCAATCGATCGATCCCTTACCTTAGGTGATCTATCCCTTATGTGGGGAGATCGATTTCTTTTCTGAAAAATTGCACGATGAAAACTTTTTGTATGAAAAAATGATCGATCCCTTGAATGAGGGGATTGATCTGGTCAGTTTGAAACCCTAACCAATCGATCCCTACAGGGAGGGGATCAATTGGTTTTGCCAAAACATGAAGAATTTCGGTTCAGGAAAAAAACAAGATCGATCCCTTTTGCTAGGGGATTGATCTGGTAAGGAGGGGATCGATCCCTTCTATAAAAACTTGCACTAATCAGGTTTTGTTCTGAGAATTTGAATTGTTTTGATTCTCAAATGGATTTTGGCAAGATAGAAGGGTGGAAAAATGTTCAATTTAAGCTTAGAAAAGATTGATTCAAGTTAGGCAAATTTTTGTTTTGTTAAATCAAAACTCTTGACCAATTCAAGGCCAACAGAACTTAATACAATTTTGATAATATTAGTTTTGAGAAATAGATTAACTTAAAAAAGTTATTTTACAAGAATAAAGTTTTCTAACAATAAACTTCTTTTTATTTTTTTGTATTAATTCACAAAGCTTTAATATTTAAATTTTATACGTTTGAAAAGCTCTTTAAGTCTACTTTTTAATGGTTCAAACAAAATCAAAATCCAAATTTTTTAAGAAAAGATTTTAAATTTTTACTAGACACTTTACAGTTGTCTAAAAATTGCACAAGTGGTAGATTTGAAAATTCACTATAATTCGTATATAATGAATTAGATAATGAATTTTATATGGATAGAAAGGCCTTTAAGTCTAATTTATAAATCTTCAAATGGTTTTTTATTTGATTTGTGTAACTCAAAAGAGAATCAAATTAGTGAGTAAAGTGTAAAACAAGAGACAACCACCCTATTGGACAAGATCGATCCCCTCAAAAAGGGATCGATTGATTTTTTATTCAGAATGAAAATTTTGCTCTAGGATTTGAAAAGAGATCGATCACTCAGACTAAGGAATCAATCACCTGAAAAAAGGATCGATTGGTACCAAAAAGGATCGATCCTCTATGCCCAGAAATAGTCCAATGTTTAGTTTTTTCAAGCTTTCAACGAGCATTTCTCCTTCCAAACCATCCCCAATGACCAGTTCTTCAATTCTTTAATAAATTAGGCACTCCAACACACCAAGAAAATTGTTGAATCAAGAGAGCAAGAACTAACAAGCTATATTTTTATTCTCTCAAAGAATCATGAGTTATTAAAGCTTAAAATCCATATCTTTTGTATTTGTTGTATCCAAGCTATATTATGTTGCTTCATTCGTCAAATTTCTTTGTACTTCATTAGACAAACACTTAGCATTTGAGAGGTGTTTTAAGTTTACATTTCTATTAAGTGATTTTATAATCAAGAGGTGAGGTATCCTTTTGAATTTGTAGGATTGAGAGATTGCTACGTAACTTAGAAAGTAGAAAGTGTAAGATTTTTATCTTAAGCCTTAGAGAAAAAAAATAGGATTGTATTTTTAATTCAAATATAGTGGATTGAAGCCTTGGTGTGGACAATCAAGAGAGAGACATAGGTGTTTTGTGAAAAAAGATCGAATCTCTATAAATTATTGCGTTTGATTTTTCTATTCGTATTTCTTTATTTTGATTATAATTTATATTTGCTTATAGTTCATCAATTTATTATTATTTGCATCATATTTTGATATTGATTTTAATTTTTTATTCAATTATTTTGAAATAATTGTTTGAAAAGAATTTTAAAAAATCCAATTTAGTCATATCTTAAATTGTTATCTCACCTAAAAAGCTAACATTTTGATAAAATTTTATTAATCAAGTTTACTAAGAAAAATTAGGATAAAATTGATGTTTAAACTTTTTTCCTAATTATATATTAAAAAATCATTTTAATGTAAAAAATCAAGAAAATTTGATTTTTTAATAATTTTTCCTAATTATTTAAAAAATACTTTTTTTTTGTAAAAATTTAGGAAAAATGACCTTTTTAACTTTTTTCTAACTGTTTTAAAAAATCATTTTAGTGTAAAAATCATCTTTAAAATATTCTAATATTTTGCAAGATTTTATTAATCGAATTTACTTAGACAATTTAGGGCAAATTGAATTCAACCTTTTACTAATTATTTTATAAATTTATTTTTTAATTTGTTTTCAAATTTTTATCATCAAATAAATTTAAAAATATTTCTAAAAAATTTTTAATATACATGAAGATAAATATCAACAAAAAATTAATAAAATATAAAAGTAAAAAGAAAATAATAAAAACTTTAAAAAGAAATTAAAAATAACTAAATAAGCATGGCTGATGGCTACGTTGTTATCGTCAACAGGTTCAAATGAGGCTTTGGTCAACGAGTCAACTGCTTTAGAAAAGGCTTCGGAACGGTTAGATGTAGGTTTGAAATGAGTCGGGTGCGCCAAACCCGGGTTGACGCTCGTATCCCTTTAGCGCAAAAGGATGTCATTATAATTTAGGCATTTAAAGCCAAAAAAATCAAGTTTTTGTCATTTTCCACTTCTTTCTTATCTCTTCTCCTTCCTTTTCACTTCTATCTTTAAGTCAAATTGCCGTAAACTTCAAACATTCTATAAAAATTCAAGCTTTTAGATGTTTTTGTCCGTTGTCGGCTATGCTGGGTTTGAAAACTTCAAAAACCCTAATTTCGATAGCTAATCATCATTCACTAGTGTCAAAAATTCCAAAAGATTTTCCAAAATTTCTCTTTTTAGCCTTGTCTTTCCGCTTCTCTAATTGGGTTTTATCTAAAACCTAGATTATCCTAAATCTGAGATTTAAATTGATAGCTTAATATGCCAAAAAAAAACCCTTCGCTGCTCCAATCTCTTCCGCTTTCCACTATATATTCATTCACCCCCCTAAATTTCCGTCTTCTTCAACTTTCTTGTTTTGAAACCCTTGAAGAACCTAAAAAGCAAATGAGCCCAAAAGCCTAAAAAACACTAAAAAAAACTATTTTTGGAATTTTTTTTCTAATGTCATTTATTCCTACTGCTTACTTCTTGTCTTTGTTGTTTGTTCTGTATCTAATATCGTGGTTGATTGGGTTTATATAGGGATTGAATACCTGTTAGAAAAGGTTTCCGATCAACATAGTCTCAGTTCAAAAGAACTTTTGTGCTATCCCCTTTTGATTCTTATCGTTTTTATTCCAAATGAGTTTAATGTGAGTTCACTTTTCCCAAAATTCATGATTCATTACCTATATTTATCTTAACTGATCTTGATTTTTCACTCATCAATTTTCTTTTTCGTTTTTTTTTAAAAATAATAATTAATAAATAAAAGAAATGATAAAAATTAAGCAAATAAAATAAAAATAATATAGAGGGAAAAGAAGGAAGATTAGTCCTTGGGTTTTCAACCCAGATCAAATTCAATTAGCCCATTAGAACCCAAAATGCTATGACCTAAACCGAAGAACAAATCATACTTAATGGACGAATTTAGAGTCCATTAAAAAACAAATTTCATAATTTAAAATATGCTGGACGAAATATGTTGTTTATAGTTGCCTTTGAACTTTAATGAAATGAGTAGCATCCAATATCCATCTCCAGTCTCTTTACCATTCGAGACAATGGATGCCAACATTGTGAATCACAGCCCTCAGCGATCTAAATTATTATCCTCTGCTCATCAATTGTTTCACTAAATAAATCATAGTGCAACTAGCTCAGTGGGTACCCAACCCAACAAAGACCTTTTTCAAGATGGATTTCTAACAAGCTTTCAACTTATTTGCAAGTGAATTTATTCATGCTCATGCTTCGAGCATCAATTTCGGATTGCAATTATTCCATTTATGATAAGGTTAACGAGCACACATTGTTCAGTTCATCAAAGGATACAACAAATTCTCCACAAGACACGACAAACAAGTCAACTTTATACTAGCAATGGCAATCAAGGAACCATAAACCCGAATGTTAGTTTTAAGGTATTGAGGAAAACCAAACAGCAGATTTCCTTCATCTGTTAGCGTAGCACTTACACCCAAAATAAGGCAATCAGAGCAATCCTAAAGCCACCATCCACCCACCCTAGTTTTAAGGAAAAGCTTGTAGACTACAAACTGGACCAACCATGTCTAGACATCACGCTATAATAAAGCATACCACAACACGGCACGTTTGAGAGGGAGAATGAAAAACAGTGAAATATTCGATGTATTTACTGTAACATTGGCTATGAGATGCCAGTCCAATTTGCACAAACACACGAAGTCAAAAGACAGAAGTTCCCACGGGCACATGTAATGTCACACGGTGTTGTTTCACTACAGGGTAAAACAAGGCCTATCAGGAACAAAGCCATAGGATATGACAATTGAATAAGTAGCCAAATTAAAGACAATTAATAAGTAGACCTCAACCTCATCTGCCCCACCAACTTTGGCAGTGCCATTGACCCTCAGGGCATCTTCTGTTGCAATAAGGAGAGTAAAGAAAAAGATTCAAAGTGATGATAGCAGTAAGGAAATGAAAACTATAAGACATAATTCACATAGTATATCAGATTAGATAGCATTTTCGATGAAGTTAAAAAACTGCAACCATAATTCATAATAGAAGACTTCTGCATCTACGCATCAAAATAGAGAATATTGCTAAATTTAGATGTGCAATTGGATGTCCTGCACTTTTTACGTGTAGAAGTCTTACCGAAACCTATCTTAATGTTAGATCCTATTAATATTTCTTTATGAATGCATGCCTCAAAACGCATTTCTGGGAAAAGACTAATTAGAGCACCGACATTCATTTCATTCACCAATATCGAAGCTAATTGTTTTTCTTTGATTCTTTTCAGCCAAACATGGGAATGGAATACAGCTAAGCTTGTTCCAAATTATTAAAATCCCATTTGACCAAGTCAAGTCAGTGCCTGATGCGAAAGACTTTCCTAATTTATGGGGAAAAATACCTTTTAACCTCATAGGTCCTCTCGTGTAGCTTCGTAGAAAGGATGAAAAGGGAGAATGACGGGAATTTTTTAATCCCACCACTTTCCAGCTTTGTAGCTTAACTATTATATTAAAACCTTTTCCTTCTTCCCTTCCATTTTCCTAACCAAAGAAAAACACTATTCAAAAACTTTTTTCCTCTTATTCTTTCTCCTTTCTTCCTGCACAGTTTGCTATAAGATTTCAGTTCTTTTCCCACCATCCAAATATTAATCATGGCTTCCTCCTCCTTTAACTCAATCATGATACAAGACAAATTTTCTTTTATCTTTTCTATTTCTACCAGACCTAAGATCAAATCTAAGATTTAAAATCTCAAATATAAGTCCTTAAATTGTGGATGTTGTTTGAAGTAAGTATTATAAATTTGATTCTTTTTAAAAAGGTGTAGTAAATCTGGTGTTTCAAGTATAAGCTCTTAAATTTTATTGGTTGATGTAGGATTCAACATAACGGCATGTGAATTGGAAAGAGAAATTCAGTTCAGCATAAGATCAGTTTTTATTCCCCGTCACTTCATTCTCAATTTCTCATTAGAAATTTAATAGGTCAATGTACTAGAACCATATAAACCTCTACCCTCGATTGAAAATTTTTCCCAAACATTTCATCCTACTTAGGGCAATTAGCAAATTTAATTCTAGTACAAAGAAAAGAAATCAAGCAATAAAGAAATTAATATCAGTGAAAGAATTATCAGATAACATAAAAGAAGGATATCATCAACTAAAACGAATCATGTGAATGTACACGGTAACAAGTTCATGTGAAATCAGTGTTATCATAAAGGTAAAAAAAAAGTGTTTTCTAATGCAACCTTTTAATCAACAAAATTACTATAATGTACCAGACTCCAGGTTTTTTTTTTTTTTTTTACTTGAAAGGCTCCAGTCTCAATGGTGAAACTAAAAACCTGTTTCAGAAGCATTACTCACCCAAGCCCATCTTGTTTACAAGTGTAAGGGGAACAGATATCAATTGTGTATACAGTCTGTAACATGGGGCCACCTATTTCACTCTGGATATCTTGAAAAATATATCATTGCGTAGCTAGCATGTAGCATGGAGCACCTTATTCATTCTGGGTACCAATCATAAGGTGGGCCAAGCACCCACTAAAATAGGCAAGAACTTTTAGCTGGAAATGAACAAACTGAAGCAAAAACTAAGGGGTCATTTCCTATCGTTTTTATATTTTGTTTTCTGCTTTTTGTTTTTTATTTTCATTTTCATTGTTTTTTAAAACAACAATAAAAAACATGCTTGGCAACTTTTTCTGTTTTCTAAAAAATAAATAAATAAAAAATAAAAAGGAAAACAAAAACAAAAATTCCAAAATTATTTGAAGCAAGAATTCTTGTTTCCATTGATTTTTGCAATCTGTTTTCATTTCTAACCATGTTTATAAGTGAGAGAATAGTGTCTATGTATTAATATAATATTATATATTTTTTCTAATAAAAATATAAATAGAATTAATTAATTTATAAAAAATAATATTAAAGCTCATATAAAACAATAAATATAAAATATTTAATTTAAAAATTAAATAATTCAAAATTAAATAATTTTTTTAATATAAAAACTTTAGAAAATATAGGTATTCAATAAAAATTATGCAAAAAAAAACATACATTCATATTATAATAGTATTTCATATAAAATTGTATAATATTATTTCATATATTAGATATAGTTTAAATAATATCATTTAATATAATTTTAATATTTTGTTAATTAATATTATCATTAATTACTAGTATTTAATATAATAAGAAAATTATTGCATTAAATAATGTTATTTAATATTTATATTATTTAACATAACTTTAAAATATATCCCTAGCATTACTGAAGAATTTAATATTATTAATTATGTCAATATTTAATAAATATTATTTTATATTATATTTAATATATATAATTAACTATATTAATTCATTTTATCTTGTAACAAAATTTCATATTAAATAAATTTAAATAATATTTTATATAATTATTAATTTCTTAATATTAATTGAATTAATAATTTCTAATTATATTACTTAATATTAAATTTAAATATAATACTATTTAAATGATATTAAATTCCAATATGATTAAATAATAATATTTAATATTATTAAATACTATAAAATAATATTACTTAAAAAATATAATTATATTTAATAAATACAATATTATTCTTACTTAAGTCTTAAAATTTTATTTTATGCATTGATTATTATGTTTGAAAAAATTTAAGTATCTGCCTTTAATATGTAACAACATTATCTACCAAACATGTTTTACGTTTTCAAAATTTTCAAAATAAAACAATAACAAAATTTTTGAAAATAGAAAACAAGAAACAGTCACCCCTAATTAATCCATTACTTGCTAGCTAATCCATTACTTACAAGGAAAGTAAGTTTTTTAATTTAACTTTCTAACAGCGTGAATAAGTCCAGAAATAATTATAATAATCACCTCCATCCTCTGGGATGTCGGAAGTCCAAAGGGTGAGGTTGTCCTTAAGAAGCTGCATAATTAAGGTGCTGTCTTTGTAAGACTCCCCATTGAGGGTGTCAAGCTCTGCAATAGCTTCATCAAAAGCTTGCTTGGCAAGGTGGCAGGCCCTGACAGAGAAATATAGAAAAGAGAATGAAAAATAATCATGTTAAAGAATATGAAAAAACAAGAATCTATATGAGATACATCCTATGTAACAACCCCAACAAACCTCTCAGGTGAATTCATAATCTCATAATAGAAGACTGAGAAATTCAAGGCTAATCCCAATCGGATGGGATGTGTAGGAGGCAACTCAGCCTCTGCAGAAGTTGTAGCTGTCTGTAGAAAAAGGAAACAAACAATCAATTGCAGACCATATGATCCAGCACTTAACGACATTAACATTTTACAACTGAAGAAGACATTATGTTCAATCTAAAATTAGACACTCCAACTTATCCCACTAAAATAAACAGAATAGTTTGGTTGCCTTCTCAAATTGATTAAGTTCCATCCTAAATACACCATGCACTCATTTATTCCACTAAAAAATTCAATAAGCAGATAAATACTGCATAGTCCAGTTGCCTTCTAAAATAAATTACAAGCCATAAAAAGAGCAGGGAGTGACACATGCAGTGGATGGGTCAAAGCATTCTCAGCACACAAAAAAGGGACACTGTGTAGTCATCCATTTTGTGCATGAAAATAAGTGAATAACAACACCTAAATGAGAAACATATATACGAGCAAATAGGTATTACCTGGAGAAATTAAAAACAAATTAAAAAGAAAAACTGTTTCCTCTGCATTAAAATGTTTTAAAGCAAGGGAGGAGATGTCCATCACCCACCCTTCTCTTACTTTTCCCTTCCCTCAATCCAAACAAAGCCAGCATCAATAGACAAAGTAAGAACTTCCATGACCAAAGCCATATCTCAACCGACTAAGATAAGAACATGATGAGAAAGAAATGATCAATTTTAATCAAGTGTTGGACCCAGAAATTCCCATGCAAATGGTTCTCAAGTAACTAGAAACCACAAAATTTCTTAGATTAAATATAAAAATGGTCCATATATTATATATTTTTTGTCAGTTTGATATCTAAAAAAATAAAAATTTCAATTTAGTACTCCAAATTTCATTATGCACTTTAGTACTTAAGATTAACATCGTTAGTCAACTTATTGACATGCCATGAACATCCAATAAGATGCTAATACGTGTAAAAAAAATCCAACCAACACAACATTATAAATTGACATATCAGCATTAAAAGAAAATTTTTAAAAAATTCTTTAAAATTTTTTTAAAAATCTAAAATATTTTAAAAAATTATAATAAATTAAAAAGACTATAATATTTTAAAATTTGTAAAATATAATGTAAACCAAAAAAATTCAAAAAATCTCAAAATTTTAATAAAAAATCCAAAAAAATAAAAAAAAATAAAAAAAATGAAAATATTCATGAAAATAAAACTTTCTTAAAATTCAAAAAATGATTTACTAAAACTTAAAAAATTGAAAACAAAAAAATCTAAAATTTTTTTAAAATATCTAAAAGTTTTTTAAAAAATTGTAAAAAATTTTATAAAAATTATGAAAATTTTCTTTTATTTTGAATCTTACAATTTTTATTTTTTATACATTTTATGAATTTTTTAGATTTGTTTGAATTTTTTATTTTTTGTTCCTTTAAATATTTTTTTTTTTGTTTTTCAAAATTTTTTTAACTTTTACAATTTTTTAGAATATTTCATATTTTTGAAATTTTTTAATTTTTCAAAATTTTTTTAAATTTTAGATTTTTTTATTCTAAAATTTTTTAAAAGTTTTTATGACTTTTTCTTTTAAATTTTAAGAAAATTTTATTTTTATTGAAATTTTTTTTTTTTAATTTTTGGATTGTTTATTAAAATTTTGAAATTTTTGAAAAATTTTAAGTTTTCATAATTTTTTAATTTTTATAATTTCTAAGAGTATTTCAAAATTTTAAACTTTTTTTGTTACTTTTTAAAAAATTTGAAAACTTTAAAATTTTAAAATTTTTGAATTTTTAAAAAATTTTTTTTGAAATTTTGTTTTAATCATGTCTTGGTAATTGATAATGTAGCACTGATTGAATTTTTTTTTTTACAAATGTTAGCATCTCATTAGATATTTATATCATGTCAGCAAGTTGACTAATAGCATTAATCTGAAGTAGATGACGGAATAAAAGTTTAAGTACCAAATTGATAATTTTATTTCTTTAAGTACTAAACTGACAGAAAGTGTATAATATAAGGATTATTTTTATACTTAAATTTCTTTAAGTTTTATCACTTTTCAATTTCCAAGGACAAATATATAAGAATACCATCAATTCAAGTTTAATCTGGATCATAACATATGGTCAAAATCATTAAACTTTTTCTAAATTTTGCTACGACAATACAAAAGTCCACAGAGACGGTGCCTTAGCCTTACCAATAAAGCAAAGGCTCATGGCCATTATACATCAAAGATTTCAGATCAACCTTTTGATGGATACCATGTCAAACATATAACATATCCAAATTTTAAGCAAGGCCACGAAAGGTAGCATTCTATGGTCATGAAGGGTTTGAAATTAAAGAAAATTTCCAGAAAGGTTCTTATACAACTTGGAGAAAAAAACAAAGGTAGATAAATGACCATTGTCATTATTTGTAGTTAATACGTAAAAAATGGTTACTAAAAATTTGTTTAAAAATAAATAATTTATTAGATACCTCGTACGCCTTCATAGAATGATCAGCAGCCTCTTTTTTCTCATTACCAGCTTTGAACTCGGCAAGATACCGATAATAATCGCCTTTCCTGCAATCCCCAAGGGTAAAACATAATAATAAATAAATAAATCACTAAAAACTAAGTTCGCTTCTAAGCAGTCCATAGTGATGTAAAAAATATAACATCATACATCTTATAGAAGAACACTGTTGATTCACCACCAGATGCAGAAGGAATGAGATGTTCATCAATCACAGTCATTATATCACTACAGATACCTGAAAGCTCAGACTCAACCTTGTGTCTATACTCCTTGATCCTCTTTGCATTTACCTTATTTCCTTTAGCTTCTTCTTTTTGCTCTATAGAGGAAAGAATCCTCCATGAAGCTCTCCGAGCACCAATCACATTTTTGTACCCAACGGACAACAAGTTCCGCTCTTCCACTGTCAATTCAATATCAAGCTTTGCCACATTCTTCATCGCATCCACCATTTCTGTCAAGAATTTTTTTTGTTTAGGAGAGACAGATTAGAACAAGACAAGAAATCCAAACTAAAATATATTAACTGTTTAAACGTCAATATTAGTTCTAAATAAAGTACACTGCACTGAGAAAATTCACCAAAATTTGAGAACCTAAATTTGGAGTTTAATTCTATACAATGAAATTATCAGTGAACTTCCAAAATAAATGTAAAATCTCACTACACTAGCCTTTAAAATCAATCACACAAAGATCCATTGTCCCAAATTCACAAAAAAATAATAATAATAAAATAAAACAATAAATAAATAAAAGGATAAAAAAAAAACTCTTTCCTCATCTTTTAAAAAGAAAAAACCGTCGATAAATTTACCCAATTGTAAGTAAATCTTCTGGACACTAAAAACGGTATCAAATTCAGCATAGGAGATGAAATTGAACTTCCAAACGAGTTGAAAATAAGAAAGAAATGTAGACAAAAAGTAAAAAAAAAAAAAGGTAAGGAATAGTACCATCGTAGCGTTCAGCCTGTTCAGCAAGCTTGGCGACATAGCAGAAATTCTCGCGCACTTTAGAAGAAGCCATAGCTGATCGCTGCACAAATCCAAACCAATTATTTAGTGTCTATAGTCAGAGGATTTTGGACTGTTGCAAATCCCCTCCCTTTACTTTACTTTTCTGTTCTTTTCATTTTTAAAAAATTTATTTACTACTTTTTCTTTCAAAGAAATTAATTTACCAGTTGAATTAACGTAGGATTAAATAAAAAAAATCTGTTTATTATATATTTTCTATAAATTTGATTTCTGAAAAAATAAAATTTTTAATTAGTCGCTATTTGAATTAATGTAATATATTTTGGTCATTCAGTTTAGTTAAGTTGTTAATATGATATTAATATTTAATAAAATTATAATACAAATTAAAAATAAAAAATATCAATTTTATTTATATTTAAAGAAAATTTAATTTTTTATTCGAGTAAAAATTAGCGGAAGCGGACCGTAGTGATGACTTGAGGGGCCTTTAGCCCCAAAAATTTTTAAAAGTTTTTAATATTTATGTTATGATAAAATTAAATGCTCTTTCCAAAAAAATTATTAATTTTTTATTTTTATATAATTTCATAATTTTTTTTTACTCATAAAATTAAGATGTATTAAAATTACATTTTATTAATTAATTAATTAATTTATCAACAAATCATTATATATAAATTTTTAAAATTAAAAATTTATTACAAGATTGAATTATAGTAATTTAAATTTAATAAAAGCCAAATTGATTTTTTAATTTATCAAATAAGATTAAAGGTCTCAAATCAAGTATCAAATATATTTTTCTATACTTTTTAATTGATTACAATTCCATTTTTCCATATAATTCTTCGCTTTTAATTCTAATTTAAGTTCTTTTTTCTTTATTATGCAATTTTTTTACACAAAAGTCAAACCTAAACTACTTTATTTATAAAGTTAAAAAAATCCTAACTTTTAATATTAAAGTTTCAAACTTTATTCTTTTAATTATATAGTTTATTTTTCTTGTTTTGATAAAAAGAATATATTGTTTAACAATTAATTTACTTATATTTTTTAAAAGAAAATCACTCACAATTATAAAGAAAGATTCATAATTTTAAATAAACTTATTTATTTAATGTACTATGTTTTTTATTCATTATTTTATAAATCAATAAAACTTATAATTTTGAAAACCTATATATTTTGCTAGTATATTACTTGCATGTGTGTGTGTATATATATGTACACATATATATAATATAATAAGATATATTTTATAAAAAAATTTAGATTTAATATAATATTAGTTGGTGTCCTTAAAATCGATTATCAATATTTGCTGCTAGAGATGGATATTATACTATGAATATAAAGATAGAGATAAGTATTGTTTTAAATTTTTATTAAATATAATAATAGAGATAGGTAATATAACACCTGTTCCGTATCCGTACGCTATATATATTTTTATGTATTTAGTATATAATTTTTTTACTAAATAATATAAATTATTATTTTAAATTAATTAAAATTAATATATTTGTATTGAAAAATATATATTAATATATATTTATAAAAAATTATTTAAATATATAAGGTAAAAATTAAAAAAATTAATGTTTAGAATTTTTTTTAAGCTATGGATATGAAAATTATTCATACCCATTAAATACCTATTGTAATAGATATTGGAATATGGATAACTTTAAAATACCTATAGAATATAGGTACAATGATAGATATAATATAAAAATTTGAGGATGAGATGAGTAATACTCTACCATATCCATTGAAATTCATACAAAAAAAATTAATTATTACCACATCATTAATGTCACGTAAAAATTAAAATAATTAAAATAATTATTAAAATTAATAATTCAAAAAATTTTAAAAAATATATACAAAAAATTTCACAAAATAAGAAAATAGAATAAAATTGAAAAATTAAGAAAAATTTTAAAAATTCTTTAAAAACTTATAAATTTTAAACAATTCAAAAAACTAAAAAAAAATTCAAAAATTTAAAATATATGAATATTTTTTAAAAATTCAAAAATTTTGAAAAATAAAAAAAAAATCAAAAGCAACTTTTAAAAAGTTAAAAATTTTCAAAAAAAAATATAAAAAAATAAAAATAGCAAAAATTTTAAATTTTCCAAAATATACAGCATTTTTAAAAATTTCAAAAAAATGAAAAAAATTTTTAAAAATTTAAAAAATTCGAAACAATTACCCTAAAATTTAAAAATAATTAAGAAAACAAATCCTAAAAAATTTTTACAAATCTAAAAAATTAAAAAAATTCTCAAAACTTAAAAAAAAATCTTTTAAATATTTATGAAAAATTCCAAAAATGGAAAACCCATAAATTAAAAATCTTAAAGAATTAAAAAAAATTTAAAAAATAAAAAACTAAAAAAAAAATCCTAGAATTTTCAAAAAATCCAAAATTAAAAAACATTTTAAAAATATTACAACAAAAATGAAGAAAAAGAAAAAAATTTCCAAATACTTAAGAAATAAAAATAAATAAATAACTAAAAACTTTTAAAAAAATCGAATATGTCCAAAGATTTTTTTTTCATTTTTACATTGATATTTTTAGATTTAAAAGTTTGATAAAAATTTTTCAATTTTTATTTTTTTTAAACTATTTTTAATTTTTTTAGGGTCTTTTATTATTTGAAATTGCCTTTTAATATTTGTTAGAGTTTTTAAATTTTTTGCAATTCTAAATATTTTCAGTTTTTTTTTATCTTTTAAAATTTTCAATTTTTTAATTTTACTTATTTTAACTTTTTTAATTTTTTTTAGTTTTTATTTTTTTCAAATTTTTAAATTTTTAAATTTTTAAAATTTTTTCTATTTTTCATTTTTAAGTTTTTTAGTTTTAAGAATTTTTTTGTATTTTTTTAATTTTCTCCTTTTTTCAAATTTTTTGTAATAATTTTTAAAAATGTTTAGATTTTTTTATATATTTGGAAATTTTTAGGATTTTTTGTTTTTTTTTTATTTTGTAATTCTTCAAAAAATTATTTTGAACTTTTTGGATTTTTTTAAATTTTTCATATTTTTGAAAAATTTTTAAATCTATTTAGATTTTTCTAAATTGTTTTGATTTTTTTGAATAATTCTTCTGTTGTTAATGCAACAATTAGGATTTGGCAATGACCGAATGTTTTTAACATGTATCATGATTTTATTAAGTAGTAATGTCACATCCGTAATTTGACTAATGGCATTAGTTTGAAGTGTCAAAGTGTATAACGAAATGAAAGTTTAGGTACCTAATTACAAATTTTATTATTTTAAGTAACAAATTGACAAAAAAAATATATAGTATAATGACCATTTTGTATTTAATCCATTAATGTACTACCAACTTCATTTCTTCTAGCAAAAAAAAAATCTACTACCAAGCAATAGGGACTCAAAGAGAGTAGGTTTGGTTGCGACTTAGAAAAAATCCCTATTAGTTAGATGAGTAAGAATGCGTCATGCTCTTTTTTGCTGCTAACGCGATTGTTAGACTCTTTTCTTTTTCTATTCTTTTGTTGTTATTTTCTTTCCTATCCTAAGCAATAACATCCTATTATTGATCCTCCTTCTAAGGATTGGGATAGATTTGGAGCAATTAGAGTATTTTTTAGCTTTATTTTTTATTTTTTATATTATATTTTCTTTGTTTCATACTAAATAGATATTTCAAATTCATCCCTTTATCCTTTTTCATGAAAATTTAATGGGTACAAAAACCCCCCATTGTAAACTCAGTCTGATTCTATGCTTGAATGTCCAATCTTCTTTTTTTTATTTTTTATTTTATTTTTATCTTTGTATTTATCTTTATTTTTTATTTCAAAATTTTATATTATATTTATATTTATTTTATCTTTGTCATTATTTAATATTTACTTATCTTCATTTTATTTTACTTTGTATTTAACTTTTATTTTATTTATTATTTATCTTTTTATTTTATTTTTTTTGGATAATATAAAAAATTAAAATTAAAAAAAAAAGATTCGATTTGGTTGTTGATTTTTGTGATAATTCATGTTTTTAATAGAGTTGGTTCCAAGTTAGGATTTTTGAAGATAAATTCTAATATTTTAGATTATGAATTTTTTTTATGATAATGCAAAGTTTTTAGAAATCTAATCCTTTATGATATTGGAGTCCTTATGTGATTGAAAATTTTTTTTTCTATAAATATCTTGCAAATACATAGCAAAAGGATCACAAACAAGAATTGTAGCAAAAATCAGAGAGCAATAAAAGTGAGTTGAGGTTTGGTAGTAAAGGGGTTTCAATACTTTTTGAGATTTTTGTTCTAAAGGTTGTTTTGGAGATTTGAAGTTTGTTTTGGTTTAATCCAAGGGAAATAAAGTGAGAAACAGCTTTGGGAGATCAAAATTTTTTGAAAGAAAATTTTTCCTAAAATTTTTTGGAAAAGTTTTTGGAAATTTTAAATTTTTTGGTTAAATTTTTTATAAGAGAATTAGAATTTTTGACAAGAATCTCAGTTTCCTACAAATTTTCAAAATCCAGTGAAGTCTCCAGATTTTGTTGAGTTTTTTTAGTGTACGTTTGGTGTTTTTAGAGAAGATCCCAACGATTACCTAGTTCCCTTTGAGTTTTTGATTTTTTTTTTTTGCAATTTTCGATCACCAAAATTCACTTAGAAAGAGGCAAAAAAAAAAAAAAAGAGAATGAGAAGAGAAAAAGTGAGGAAAAGGAAAAAAGAAGGCTTTTATACTTAGTCGATACAACGGCATTCTGAGAAATTAAAACTAATTGGGATGCACATGTTGCCCTGTGTGCTAACTTGGCTTATAGCATGCCTAATCGGATTTCTAGGTGCTGATCCATTGTTGATTTGATTAAGTCAAGTTGTGATCTAATTCACCGAGCCATCCTTTGTTTCTAAAGTTGATTGTTGCTTTTCGTATGGCATGTAAGTACACAGATCAAGTAATAGAAATGAAAGTATTATAATATTATCTCCTAAGGATTATAAATTATAATGTTAGGTAGTTCTTCAACTACCAATAGCGATATCTTAAAATGTTATATCTAAACAATTGAAAATTTAGTGGTTGTTCGCAAAGTAAAGAAAAGAAAAGATTAGGAAGTAGTGTAGGCTTAGATC